ACTGCTGGAATAAGCAGTGTGGCTTTGCGCACGTACTTTGATTGTACAGTAAACACAGTACAGTCACTTGACACTGTCAGACAGCATTAACATCAAACTGCTGCCAGGGGCGTTCAGAGTGTCAGGTGATTTCAACTGATTCTACAGTTAATTACATGTCAGGAAACAGAGCTGACCTTAAGTGTACACAACTAATGTGTTAATATGCGTTTAGCTGATGTAGTCTAAATACCTACTACTATCCTTTAACAAACTATTTATAAACTTTTATTAAACATACATGCTAAATAAATGTTAAATATTGTATTAACATCACTATTGTATTAGTGATAGCAAAGCCTAATACCAAACAATCATTTGTGATTTGAATACAATGCTGTAATGAAATAACTCCCTGCAGCTCAAAATATAATTAAGCTTGCTGAAAAAAAAAGTCAACACAACTGGGGGAAAAAAGCAGATTTAGCCATCTATTTCTTTTGGGGAAACACTTTATGCAATGGGCTGACGACCAACTGAAGCATTTTGATGAGATTACCTCGACTCCATCTCTAAGACTAATACGAGGCTATCTGCTTAACTTCTGCGGGCAAGGGTCACAGGCTGGTTATGGGAGGTACTCGGGTAAAGTGACGAGAAAAAGCTGGATGATTTGTGCCTTTCCTTCACTGTGGGTGGCATGTCACATTGAGGACACGTCAGCAGACGCCTGACAGATCTCGAGTGAGATCCAACTGAGCAAGAGGGGTGGGGGATGGGGATGGGGGGTCTAACCCGCTGTCTTCTCGCATGAGTGCTGGTGGACGCATATTCAATGCGACACACACATACACAAGGAAAGCAGTCACAAATACAGATGCATACACACACGCAGTGAGGCTAGGAGGCATAATTCCAACTCTCCCTGTACACTGTGGAGATTTGAGCCTCAACCAAACATGCTGCCTGCACAGAGAGCAGGTGTCAGACCAGGTGAGCGCTGTGTGCTGACGGTTAGCGGCTAGCTCCCAGCTGACCTCACATCAAAACTCGGCGACACGGAAAGGACATGAAAATTCCCAACTAAATGAAATCAGCAAGGCTTATGTCATCAAAATGGACTCAATTATGTCGCCTGTCAACCCAGGTTTAGCCAGCATCTATCAAAGACTCAAGACTCGGGCCTTGTTGCTAAACTCAGATTACTGAGACTGTCTCCCTTCAGCAGGAATTCAGTGGCTGTTTTCTGTTCACAGAATGGATCAACATGTTATGTCATTCAGGGGCCGACGTTCAGCAACATCCATAATAAATAACACTGCATTAAAATGTAAGAACACAGAATGAAAGAGACAGACATCAAGAAAGAGACAGACATGAGATGAGAATTTGAGAACAAAGCTAGTGCAACATAGAGTTGTTTTTAGATGCATCATGTCTGCCTCTAATTAACTCTCCTTAGCTTATGATTCACTCCGGCTGGAGTAATTGTATGAGCCAATATCCTAAAAGCAAAATAATTCTCATTTTAAGATATTACATGTTATTTGTGCATTCATGGTCAATAAAATCAATATTTACATATATAAAAACATAGAGAAACATGCATTAAGAAATCAGTGATTTTCCACTGTTTAAACAATATTCTTGAAAGAAGAATCTTCAAACACTGAATGTGTGTGGAAACAGAAAATTAAAAGCAACACTTTACAGGCTATTATAGAGGGGGATATTATAGGCAGGCTTTCCATTGAGACTAAAGAGTACACAGGTCAAGTAAAAGTGAATGTTAGTCATATTTTCAGTATTTGTAAAAAGTACATCCAATAAATGTCTTTCCTTGGCTGCCCCAGCACTTAAGTGTTGGAATTAGAATCATTGCAAGCATTGAGGGTGTAAAGGTGATTTGCTGTTGAGTGTTTCATGAACGGCCAAATGAACTGTGAAATGTGCCGCTCATTGAGCAAGTTAAATTAGCTTCCCATTTCATAATTTGCTCAGGTACACACAGATAAGAGCTTCCAACTTACTGGTATACTGAGGTGACACACAATGTTAAATAACATTAACTTTTTGAATTTTAGATGTTATCATGGGAAACACTCAAGATGGGAACCACGGTTGAGGAGTCTCATTTCTGCAACAAAGAGATATAATCTGAAATTAGTCTTTGAAAGATAGAAAAAGGACTTTAAATTTAGTTTGCAAATGTGTTATTATGAATTAATGAACTGGGGAGGCTCAAAGATAAAGAAGTTCTAGCTGAGTGTTTCCCAGTGCTCTACATTAAAATATATTAGGACCTCATTAATACCTTAATCAGAAAAGCATTTTAAAACACTGAACCATTTAAACAGTTGCTGAAAGCTTGGATGGATTAATAAATGTTTGTGATTACTATTTCTTAAATGTCACTTTTACAATTATTAGTCTTTAAATTGAGTATGTATAATCTACTGCACTGTATTTATGCCAATGTATGTTTTCAATAAACCTCTTCTTTGATTTCAGGCAGTGGAAGAAAAGAAGAAATGAATAACAACACCTTGCCTCAAAGCTCCAAACAAATGTGTTACTTGCACGCTGACTACAGTAGATTAGCTCAGTCCAGGCAGTTTATTGTTAATCTTTGAGTACTGGTGACAAGCACCTTTGAGTGAGTGTGGTATGAGGAGAAGCTCTCACACATTTCCACACTATCAGTAGTGTATGTAATGTCCAGCTGGATATCCAGTCAGTTCAGAGTGGTTTTCAAATTACCTTCCCTTTTTCTCCTCTCTGTTCTATCCAAAAACACTCTCCTCTTTTCCCTCTCTAACTGACCTACAACCCTTCTCCATTCTTTGATCGTTCCTCTTCTATCTTTTCCCTAGCCTTGTGTCCGTTCTGTTCTGCTGTGATTGCCAAGTATCAGCGCCATGGCTCTCCCCCCATTGGCCAAGATTTACCTCATCTGATCGTCTCTAATTACACACTCATTCCCTACCTAATCTCAATAAACACACTCCACAGAAAACCGCTTGATGTTGGAAACCCAAAATGTTGTTTGCACAGGATAACATCAAGATTTCGGTATTTGAAAAAAAATGTTAAATTGCAGAGTGTGGCTGCACAGTGGGAATTTTGTGATACAGCCTCAGTGATCAACCTGTTTATCCCACTGCCTGCTGAATCCTTCCCCCTCTCTCTGAGCTTCCCTGGGACACAGAACACATTGGCTTAGAGTCTGTTTATAAACCACATTACTTCTTTTTAAATAGCCTTCGATGATGACATGACTCAGTGCAATGATACGTTTTCAAATGGTAAGCTGTGCTCGCTGTAAATCCAGCTTTTTGGCAGTGGCCCCAGGCCTTAGGGTTCAGGGTTGGCTCGTCTACAAGTGCTGAGCCTGAGATGGGATCCCGTGCGTGATTATATATTAACCAAATGACGATGCACTATTTCCATCCTAATTCAACTGCAGCTGCTGTAATAATTATGAACACACTTTTATTCTGGAGAAAAAAAAAATCAGAATTATTTCCTGCAAGTATAACAACTATGTATATTGCATTATAGTTCAGAATAAGTCAGTACACAAATCAGTCCATTGTCCAAGCAGACTGACACACTTTTTGAGATGTCAACAAACAAATGACAAATAAACAAGTGGCCAGAGATTACAGCTCCAATTTATTGTATTTTAATAAGTTTACCTTAGATTAGATCATTTTTAATTACTAAATGAATTAAAAAGTAATTAATAAAATGGTTGCATGTATAAGAAATGTGTAAGAGATTCCAATCACAAAGCAAGTACTCTGTTGATCATAATAATAATGTATTTGCTCCAATTACAGTGCAAACAGCATGGTCAGGCCTGAGCCCTCTGTGCCTCTCATGTATTATCATTACATGTGAGACACAGAGCTAGGAAAGGCGATAAATACCCAGCAATCTTTGAAAAACCCAGAATACTGCCGAACAGCGAAACACATTTCTAGAATCTTTAAAGACTCTTCAACCATCTGGAAGAAAAAATATTCCATCTACTGCACACAGACACACACACACACACACACACACACACACTAATTACTTAATTTCCTAATTAAGATAGCCAGAATTGACACGTCGTTGTTATTTTTGTAAAATAGAAAAAAAAATATTAACACTTTATTGTGTGTGTCTATTTGGATTGGAATGTAATGATAATACATGGCAGGCACAAACTGGAGCTAGGTGAAGTGTTATATTTCTGTTTAGACACAAAAATGTAACATGGTATATCACTAGTGTACCACACAGCATCCATCAGCAAGTGAAAATAGTAAAACAATGATTATGATGTCAGATTGTTTCCTATGACAGAAATAACTCGAAAATCCTTTGCCCTTCCTCTTGTTCGCCTTCTGCACAACATAGCTAGAGTGCTTTGACTTATGCTTCACACAGTAATGTGAACATGTTCAGCACTTTTACTTGCTATTAAGCACTTTTACACACTTTTTAAACTGTTTATCTCACCAACGCCATCTGTTCCGTCACCACTTAATATTACACCAACAGGAAAAAAATTTTTTATCCAAACAGCCTCTGTGAAACCACTTTTTCATTTTGTCTGTTTGTCTCATCTCTGCATCTTTCTGCCATCCCCCTTTTTTCCTGCCATTCGCCCCTCTGTCACTGTCTGCTCATTGTGTCTCTTTCTGTCTCATTTTTGCTGCTATCGATGATAGGCTGTCAGCCCTGACAGATATGTTTGCAGATGTGCACTAAAAGGTTATAGCTGGCGCATAGAGGGCTGTATTCAAAAGGTCAAAGGTGAATTGTGTGCAGGTGTGAAAATGGACAGCATTCAGAGGCAGCCTAAACGTAGTTGATAATATATTTTAAGGTTTTACTTTATGTACTGCTTTACCTCAGTGAAACTTACTTTACAAGCACTCACTGACCTGTGCATCAATAAAAGTTGCATCCAAAGCTACTTAAAGCAGCACTGTAGGCAGTATAATGATCCAGTGTAAAGTGTAACTCACGTTCTTTATTGTCTCATCTTCGGCATCTTTTCTCTCCTGTGCTTAATTCCAGGCTCCTCGTCCTCTGTGCATGCACATTTCTCCACCTTGAATTGAATAACAAGACAAAGACCATGGTTGAGAATTCATCAAAACATATCAAAACACTCCTGGTGCCCTGGTGGCTAAGCGTGCTGGCCCATGTGCCATGTGCACATGCTGTGCTGTTGCTCCCTGTGCTTTTTTTCCAGACTCACTTCAGTGTTGCAATTACCGCTGAAATGCTGGGGGATGGTGGACAGTGCAATTATACTTTGGAAGGAAAAGAAAAAAAGAAATATATAAACCCTTCCTGCTTTTAGACCCCAGAAGAAAATAGAAAACTTTGATCTTCATTGACCAGAGAGGGTGGATTAAAAGACATTAAAATGGCTGTATGCATAATCAGCTAAGCCCAGTTTTGTTTGGCTGTAAAATCACAGCACCAACATGTTGGTTTTGATCCTAAACCCTGTCTTTTGGGAAGCAACATCTCAGGAAAACAGCACGAAAAGGAGGGAGGGGACGTGGAGAATTCATTGCCGGCAAGAAAAAACAAGAGATAACAGGAGGAAATTCATTTTAAGCCTGTTTGAGCATCTTTAAATCTAGCGTGTTAAGTCCTTGAGGTTTTTTGAGGGAGGGTGAAACCAGTCTTTTGTCTCAGGGCAATGACTCACTCCGCTTTACAATAAAGCAGATCACCAGCACTCTGCTCCCATTTCTTAAAGCACATGGTAGTGGCCTGTCATTTTATTAAAGATATTTTCTCACAAGAAAAGGCTTATGTAAGACACATTTAGCTCTGAGACACATCTTATATAATTATCCCTCGTAATAACCAAACGAGATTCATCATTGTGCTTTTGAGAGATTGCAAATGAGTTTTCTAGAAAGCATCAATTTTCTGATATCCCATGAAGGTGATGAAGAGGAGGTGGCAGGTAGTTCAATGTGGGGGCACGGAACAGATGGTGGTCTATCCAACGCGCGCCAGGTGGGACTTGGTTGGGACAGGTTGCGCACACACACACACACACACACACATACACACACACACAGGTCAGAGGGAGGGCACTGATACTCCAGGGGGGCTTCAGGTCCTTTTCATATGTCATGGATGCAGGCAGGGATACCAATAAAGACAAAAAGTCTTGCAATGTAAAGTTCATGCAAAGCTAGTGGAGAAAAGAGAAAATTATCTTATTACATAAAACTAGTTTTGACAATTTCTTAACATTTTGTGGTTTTAGTTTAGTTAGTTTTTATCCTTTAATGTGAAAAACTTTCAAACTTTTAATATGTAGGAATCTAGGATAAATTCAGGTTTCTAGCTGTTGAATTATTGAACATTTTGGTGACCTGATGCTACCTCTGAGAGCTGGTGCTAAATTAGTTCTCAGTATTAGAAGGTTCTATCTGCAACTCACCTGATCTATAAACCTCATTTAAAAATGTGCTTCGATATTTTTATACTAAACTTTACCTCTAAGTTGCCTGTTATTTTGAAGAATAATATAGTTCTACACTGCATGCAGTTTTACCAACTAGGATGTGCATCTCAGATTACAGATAAAACCTTATAATCCCAAGGTCACTCACAGTCTGACGAATATTTAGGAAGCAAATTATTATTTCATACCAGTATTTAATACTTCACTGTGAACACATGATACTGTGGTGATATAAACGTTAGCAAGAGTGGTAAAACTGTTTTTAAATGAGCTGATTCATAGTTGACGACAGTTTCAGTAAAATATATGATTTCACATCTCATATGTCCTCTCCTCTCTGTCAATCACGTCACCTCAGCAGGGTGGAATTTCAATTTCACACTCTGCTGGGGTTCATAACACACACATCACTTAAAAACAGGTACAGAAAAAAGGGGGAGGGGGGTGTTAAAAAATGGATCAACATATGTACTCATGAATGAGTAAACAACCATGGGATGAACATAAATTAATACATGAGACACGCCGCTGGCATGCTAATACAGCTTTCAGAGTAACAATGCAACTTCTCTCAGTGAGAGTACTGTAAGCCGCATAAGTAAAGCAGGCCCAATGTCATTTTCCTAGCTGTGTCTACTTTCAAACAGCAGGCACATACACACACAAATCAAAAATGAGATTAAACCTTTATTATAATCTTTAATTAATTTCTTGAGTCTATCCAATCAGAGCCAGTGATTAGGAAGGGTCTTCATTATGGTGTAACAGCATGCATGCATGGACAAGTAGCCTTTTATTTAATTCAGTCTAAGCAGACTAGAGCAGCTACATGTGTCCAGATTTGACTTGAGGAAGTTGTTCATCTCCAGCTTCCTGTAAGTAACTGCAGTTCTCAAATTCACTGTATTCACTATCTGCAATCTGAATAATTCATGAGTGAACAATAAATACCAAAAAAAGAAAATAAAGGTCTGTCAAAATGGGAAATGATTGTGACCTTCTATGCAAAATAAGTGGAAGTCGGGAGAGCGATGCGCAGTGAGAGATAGGTATAAGACGAGAATGAAAAATTACGGGAACAGAAACAGAAAACAGAGGAAAGAATGGGAGGGAAATAAAATGAGAGCTGTACAAATGACCAAATTTCCCCCCTTGTAAAAAAAAAAGCCTCCATATGCTGGAGAGTGATACAGAAATAGGTCCCTCTGTATTCATGAATCTCTTAGAGCACAATCAATGGGGTAAGCGATACATAAAAGATGAGGCTGAGTTTGACCTGTGCACTGAGGGGGAGGGGAAGTGTTCTGCAGAGCCTGGACCGGAGGAGATGGCGATTTAGACTCTGTCAGAGCATCCTTTGAAGTTTTGGCAGATGAGGATGGGCTGTGGATCAGCCCGTGGCCCTGCTGCATTAACCCCCCAAGCCCTAGCTATGCTTGCACTGAGTCAGCAGCAGCACCAGAGGGGCTGCCTGCCTGGCCAGCATCATGCATAATCTCACAGTGGTGTAGCACAGATCCATTATACGGAGCCATTATTCAAACTTAAGCAGTGATTATCTCTTTGCTTTATTACATTTTCACAGCAGCACGACTTCACACCAGTCGGCTACGGATCTGATGCTGATGCTTATTTTGGACAAAGATTGAATTTGGAGCTCATAATATCATAACTTAGAAGTTGTCATGCGAAGACAGCACAAAAAACATGCACACAGGCAAGAATATTTATCAAGCTGAAGATCAAGATCAGTACAGATTGAGAGGCACACTCTCACATGCACAACATACGCATACAGAAACAGACTGTAAAAAAACTATTGCCTTATTGTTTGAGGCATGTGCGCACTCTGGTGATAAACAGAGGTGAGTCATGTCAGAAAGAGGATTAGAGGGGCTGTGAAAAAGCAGAGAATTATTGACGGAAAAGAGGAGGATTTAGATTTAGCCCTGCCAGTCCACAACAGTCTCTAACCCCTCCCCTCTCCTCTCTACATACACACACTTACACATAAACTAGTGATGACTCAGTAAGGCTGTCGCTGGTCACTTTGGACTGACATTGCTCAGGTAAACAATTAATGCAAACTGTGGCCCGCTCTGACCTGACTTTCTATTAGGCCTAATCCCATCACTGCAAACCCAGTCAGCTACTGTACAGTAGCATCCCTAGAAAACCTGAGGGCCAGACCAGTGTGATACATAATGGATAAAGGAATGCATGGACACAGAGTCAGACGTCAACTTGTAGAATCTCATCTATCCTCAGAAAAACACACACTAATCCGATTCAAAATGCACCCAAATCTCTGTGCGATTAAAATAATTCCAGATTTTGAATAAATCGTGGGTGATTAAACTAACCAGGATCCACATCTCAGGCTGCAATCTCAGTCTTATGTTTTTTCCTGCTGCACAAAAAACCTGAAACTGCTCATGAGGGTGAAGGAAGCAGAGAACTACTCAAAGAGTATCTTAAGAATTAGAAAGAGTGTACAAAAATCTCCAGGACTGAGGGTTAGACAGAAAAACATGTTTTAACACCACTGTCCAGCCAGACATAGGTAGGTTAAACTTTTTGCACTGCTCAAAAATAAAAAAATAAAAAATATAGAACAGGAGTTCTGTTGTGTGTGTTTTAGGAGTTTTTACAAGGGCATTGAGATGTGTACAGTATTTGCAATTGAAATGCATGGCGTGATTCAGAGGCAGAGGGGGTTGACGGCACCCCACCTGGCTGGTTAGACTTCCAAAGGGCACACTTAATGAATTCACAGTGCTGTAATGTGAGAACCACACACTGATGACAGGCAGTCATTAATTAAAAAGCCGGTGTTTTGTGTATGTGTGTGTATATGTATATATATAACACATACATACATGCATCTGCAGAGGTAACAAATGCAGGCCAGAGAGAGTTGCTGGCACTGTTAAGAATTCAGGGGACACAAAAAACCAAATGGATGTACAGTCAGAGAGTAACATAATGAATAAAATGTAAATAACAGATCTGAAGCAACACAGATTTGCTGGAATAAGGGAGCACTGCAAAGAAGAAAAGGGAATTCACAAAAACAATATTATCACAATATCTATAGAAATTTTTAAAAAGTAAACAATAATGCTTTTAGTCAAATTGATTTTTAACTTTTATTGTGTGTTTTGTCTCTTTTTTGGCAATTGAATTACTCTCAACTGTAACACTGGCAACCAGTGTTAAGGTCCTATTCTGCCACCTACTATGTCTGAACACAAAGCAGAAATAGAAAGAAACACAAATATCAATATTTCATTTTTAATTATCAAAATAATCAGTATATCGCGACACCCCTAATGTGACATGTCAGATCATTTATTTATGAGTAGAAAGTGTCTATAACTCACCTAAGTTCTGAGCCTATTTTTGTATGTGGTATTGTCTTTAGTGTTTATTTCTTAAAGGTTCTATATGTAACTAATTAATAATGACACCGTTGGCTGGTAAAATAACTGCAGTCAGCATCCTGTTGCTCGCACTTGCACTCCATACACAGTCCATCGGCATGAGCGAGCATCATCCTGAGCATCAGCCAAATGTGACATACAGTACATAGATACAATGCTGAAATGAACACTGCT